ACAGTCGTTGAACACCAGAAAATCTAATCTAGCCTCATTAACCCTTTTTATGTTGGCCCAAATAAGTGCAGCAGTTGCTTGTAGATTGGGTCGCCATAGAAGCGGGCCAGTGAAGCCGTAAAACATTAGAGCAGCAATTTTGAGATCACTGCAGCCCTCAAAAGGATCCATTTAAATATTTAGTGCGCGTTCGCTGCACATCGCAGCTCAATTCCCACCAGTCGCATGTGTTGGCTGGCACTCGGTGGTCTTTTGTGAGGTGTTGGGTCGGTCGGTCGGTCGGTCGGTCGGTAGCAATTATTAGATATAAATAACATTTTCACGAACGTTGGAAAAATGCACAAATAAATTTTAAATTGCACAATTACGAAAAGCGTTGGCGTTGGCGTTGTGCATAGAACCGGAATGCACTGTGCGCATACAGGGTGCTTTACTCCTGCACAAGCATGTTTAAATAAAATATGAAACAAGTACAATAGTTCAGTTTAGTATTCTTTTAAAAAAATATTTTTTTATGTTCTTTCGTCGTTCCTGCAATAAATTTATTAGCACATTTCCACATTTCCAGTTGCCTAAGATTTTTTATGTTCGCTGCATTGGCTCTGTTCACGGTGCATTTGGCACAGGCTTTGATGTACTGTAAAGAATTATGGCTACTTTAGTATGTATTTTCCGGCACTAAAAATATTTCTAAGTACTCATTTCAATTCATGCCAGCACAATGTTCTCACCCTTGCGCCTCGCATAGACTCCTCGCAGAAAATGTGTGAGCATTGCTATGGAACTTCAAAGTTTCGCTACTGCAACTAATGATTATTGAATAGGATACAGCTGTGCAATGCAACCATCAGCCTGCTGTTGATCCTTATTTCCTCTGCACTTCCACTTCTTTTATTCGATTTCTGTATTTTACAGATTTTATTCATGCTCCCACTTATACGAGTATAAGTTCATGTGTGTGGCACTAGTTTGTCTCATTTGGGTTGCAGCACGTGATGCTGTCGTTGGCGTTTTGGTAGTTGGAATTGTCATTGATGCTGGTGTTGCTTCGCTGTAGCACTCCTGGTGAATTATTGTTTCAGTTGCATTTGTCGTTCCTTCCCAGTGCTGAGGTTGCTGATTTTTTTTGCAACGTTTATGAGTTTAGCTTAGCTAAGCTGTTGCGCTTTATAACAATTTTGTACACTTTTTAAATTCACTTTTATCCAACACTGCACTACACTCCACTCTTATACTCTGCCACTTCACCACTTCACCACTCCGTCACTCTGTTACTCAGTTACGCTAGTATTAGCGGAATGGTGTTAATGTTACTTTTCACTAAAAGCGTACACGTTGCGGCAACAGGGCTCCATGGCACCTACTCGCATGTGTGTACTGCTTCTGTTGCTTCCCTGCCATAATCGGGTAATTTCAAATTCATAAGTGCTGCATTCATTTATTCGTGCCATGAAGCCTCATTGCAATGAAATTTGTTATATTCATAAAAAGTACACCAAAAGTAAATACAACCGGAAAATTCAAAGCAAATGGAGCAAATATTTATGCTCCGGGCGCTCCCTCGCATACAAATGACGCAAACGCCAACGATGACATGTCATTTTCCATTTTCCTATTGGAATCTTGTATTCATTCATTTATATAATTTGCATTTGAATGAAAAGACATAATTTCAATTTAATTATTTTTGCTACAAAGTTTGGATCCCGAATGGTTTTTAATTCGGTGCTAGTCTGAATCAGTCATATTATTGCGGATGAAAAAGAATTTACATTTGATTTAAGGACTAAGACAATTTTAGAAAGCCAATAGCTGATTGGCTCTATTACTATACTATTTTATATTTTAGCAAATTATGACTTATAACTGATTAAAGTCGGTATTTAATATCTACAGTAAAAAAAAATTATAAGAATAATTTTATTATCACTTTCTAAAAAAAATTAACTATTATATGAATGATATGATACATTGAAAAACTCACTTCAATCTATTTCATTGAAACTTTTGCAATATAATAATTGATGCCAGAAGTAATATTTAACAATAGAGCCTCTTGATTAAACAGAACATTGCTATTTTGTGAGATCTTTTATATCTCATCTCATTTTGGTCTTTGATCAACCAAATTGCTTATTATCTGCCTAATAATAATAAGGATCTTTTGTTGATTAGATGCTAACTACCTTTCTTTTGAGTTAACATAGCTACACAAAATGTGGCAAGAAGTTTCATTCAGTATGAGCCTGTCTATCTTATCTTAGTGACAAGTGGTATAATATTTTTGTGTTGTAATGATGCTTAGCCATTTATTTATGAAATATGTAGTAGCTCCCTTGTCCAGATCATTAATCACCAGCCACGAAGGTGAGGATAGACCACCTTGAGGATATTATTCTGCAAGACTATACATATCGTTATTTTATTTAGCTTGAAAGATATCTTTCCATGATAATGGTGAAAAAACCCCAACTTAATTACATTATTCTGCAAGACTAAACATAGCGTTATTTTATTTAGCTTAAAAGATATATTCCGATGGCGTAAAGTATAGTTCAAGCCAAAAACCTGAATTTAAACTCATTGGTGGTTAATAAGAGCACCTTCCTAATCCTGGAATGCTTACAAAATAATTGTCTTGAAGTAAAAAATATTTGCTTTTGTTAACTAGATAGTATAAAGCAACATTAAATGACTTATGATTTTAGAGTAAGTGAATTAAATACCTTCCAAATACGTACACATTCATATCAAAAGTCCTTATAGTGTATAACAATGCACTCAATGAACTGGCTACCTACAACCAAGTCTCTCTGATTTGGGTACCCGGACATGAAGGACACGAAGACAATGAAAAGGCAGATCTTTATGCCAAAAAAGAGGCAAAAGAGCCATTCATCTGTTGAACCGCTTTCTTTGACTGTAATAAAAAAAATATAAAACATGAGACCAAGAAATGGATACAACAAAACATCATGGAATATTGAAATAGCACTTGAATTTTGATGCCAAAAGAAAAAACACCGCACTCAACCTAAACAAGAAGCGTCTAAAGGCACTCTCTGGTGTATTAACAGGCCACGCCGCCTACAATAAACATCTCAACAAAACAATATATCCGACACAAATATTTGCAGATTCTGCTGAGATGAGGAAGAGTCAATGAAACAACTGATCTATGGAACTGTGATGCACTAGGCTACAGAAGATATAAAATTTTAGGTGCATACCAACTACAGGTTGAAGAACTGGTTCGTTTCCTTGAGATACTAAATTCCTAAATACAAAAGGGGACAAAATATATCAAACTGAACGCAGTGCATAAAGGCCTAAGCGAAACCTATAAACTAGCACCATTACAATGTATTAAATTAATTTAAATTTATTTCTAGACGCAATAAATACAAAAAAAATTTTATTGTTTAGAGCTTAGATATCTCACACTGCTACTGCTCTTACAATAAAGCCTTATATTTTTTCCTTTTGGCTGTAAAAAATAAATTTAATTTTATTTGATAATAATTTATTAAAAGCTTACTTACATTCTTCAAAATGTGTTTTCAAGAAGAATTTGGTCGGTCATAAATATTTATGAATTTTAAATGTATTAAAACATTTTACCACACGCAGTCATCATTCCAACAAAATACGTAAACTACATCTTCAGGAAACACCAGTGACCTCTTGAAAACGATATGAATAAGTTTATTGCAAATACTGAATAAATGTTTATTCACGGGATCTTTATATTCTACATAATTGATTTAGTTCTGTAATATTTTCATTTATATTTTATTTACTGATTTCATGAAATCCCCCCTCCTGCTCCATCTACTGCATGAGCTTCTCATTTTATTATTATTTCTTTTTTTATGCGCAGATGGATGGCAACGGAGTCTCTTTATGATAACATATTTTCTGTTAAATCGGACATTTGGAGCTTCGGCATACTAATGTGGGAAATTGTAACACTTGGCTCAACACCATATCCAGGCATATCAGCTGCAGATGTTATGCGAAAAGTAAGTGTATTTGTTTATGAAGGAAAACTTATATAATATTAAGCTTGAATCGATACACAAAAGGAATAATAAGACACTGCCATGTTGCCATACTGCCATATTGCATTAAAAAAATCTCATACTTTTTCCTGCGTGTTTTGCTCTGATAATTCAACATAAATAATAACAGAATAACCACATCAGGTTTTTAATAATGTAGTGATTTGTGAAAACGGAAAGAAAATTATGTTATTTTAAGATAGATACTCGTGCTTATTCAATAATGCTTTAATATGCCATATTATATAAAAAAAATAAAAATAACAAATTATTTAATGTTAATATTTTTTGCCGAGAGTGATCCATCTTACGACGAAAAGAAACTATTTAAAAAATTAGAAGAGTTCGAATAAAAATGTTTTGTTGTTGTCTTTTCATTTCTATTCGAACTCTCTCAACTTAAATTATATTTATTCATGCTTTAACTCATTTAATTTTTTCATGTATTTAAAAGACAAAACAATTCATTAGTTTTAAGGCAAAACAATATTAAATCTGAAATTGAAATTATAATTTTAATATAAATTATTAACTTATAAAATTAATTATTATTATCTTTAATATTAATAATGTCTATATAATGCCTACAGGTACGTGATGGTTATCGGCTAGAAAAGCCTGAACATTGCCGCAGGGAACTGTATAACATCATGTATTATTGCTGGTCCAGCGATTCTAATGAGAGGCCAACTTTCTTGGAGGTTGTTCAGATGCTCGATAAATTGTTACACACCGAAATGGATTACATTGAATTGGAACGTTTTCCCGATCACAATTATTATAATATCGTTAACTTAAGTGGAGAAAAATTATAAATCAACCAAAAATAATATTCATTATTGTATAAGATAATATAAATAACATAAAATACTTCTGTCAAATCTAATCTAATCAAATCAAGTAAAACATATGAAAAATCAATTTATTAAAAATCAAACTACGCATATTATATTGTGATGGATAATGGTTATTATTATAGTCTTCTCTATTATTACAAAAAAACTGCCAGTATATAAAATAATATATATATGTATACTATATAGTATATCTACTGAATCTGTGACATATTTTGATAATAGGAATAAATTGCAACAATATCCACATAAAGTGCGAGTACACTAGGTATATCACAATCCCTTACACCCGCTCTATAAAAGTAGAACACAATTCTGTCTGGTATTCTAACAAATCCCAATAAAAATAATATCTTTCAATTATTGATAACGAAAACTAATGATTTTAATAAATAATATAAATAGTAACAGCATGTATAGTATATTTAAGTAATAAGTTATTTATTTTAGTTTTTTAATTTTCAAATAATTTTAGTTTAGTTTGTCTGTAAATATTTTTAAACATTAAAGACTTAAATGTTATTTATTAAATTAATTAGATATAAATATTTTTATATAAGAGTCAGTTCGAAAGAATTGTGCTCATGGTCAATATTGTATAAAAAGAAAACTATATATAAAAAATAAATAAAATTATAAAATGCAAATACTTATTTTTATATTATTTAAAATTTATTTTTTAAAATCTTTAAAATGGAATTTATAAAGAGAATTCTAAAATGTAAAGAACAATTCAATCAAGAAAAGACGAAGAGCATCTCAGCTCCACATATTGTTGAAAGACACAATTTCTTAAAACTGATTATATTTCGGAACCTTTAAAACCGCAGGGACTGGTGCAAACTGCTCTTATGCTCTTAGATATTTTATATAGTATTTTAAAAGAAACAAAATATCTTTGTTCCTATAAGTTCCTTTCAGACCTTACATAAAACAGATTATCCATGGATAAAGACGAAAGATGTATTCAATTATCTGAATACCTATTCAATTATCTGAATTCGGTTGAATGGATTTAGTCTGTATTCTTCTATTTTAGTGGTTCTTGCAAGGAATTTAGTAGCAAAACGATGATCATTCGCCAATTGAGGTACATGGAAAGTTATCTGATAGCCTACCACTGCAACCAAACAGCCAACCAGATAAAACAGATGACCATTTAAAGAAATGCATTAAATCACAGTGTTATATTTTCTGTAAAGTAATTAAACCTATTTTTATAACCTAATCTTAATATTATATGCTTTTTGGCAAATGATTGTTTTATTATATTATATTTATTTTTTTTGATTTTATTACATTAAGGTTAGATGGTTTATAATGGAACTCTTATAGTACATTCACACTGTCTCGTTTAGGCAGTTTTGCTCATTATTGCCATACAAAGTGGATGATTTACCATACAAAACGCTTTCTTATAAATGAACTCATTATCAATAAATGAGTTCATATAAGACGAAAAATGTAAAATGTAATCTTTAAATATAAAGGAAGGATTTTCCAAAAGGAAAATTACAAAAATTTGAAATATGTGTCAAATGTTTTATATGTAAAATGTAAACAAACAATAGCTAAGCTGTATACAAAGGAACTGTGAAAGTAAGTATCTAATAAAATTTTTGTAAAATATTTATTTGACATATAAAATGATTTAAGATATAAATTTATTTTAATTCTTTTGTGCTATATATTATTAAGCGAAGGTTATAATAGTTTTATCAGCCGCATAAATGAGCTTATTATAATGTGAACGTCCACTCATTAATATAAACAAAAAAGTGCCTAAATGAGACATTGTGTGAATGCTATAATATTAATCTGTTTTTATTTGGACATCAAAAACTTTTGTAAGGTTGCCTATAGTGTTGCTACTGCTATATTATTTCTGAACAGTTTTAATAAGTTTTTATAAGGTCGACTGAACATGTATTTCTATATATTTTTGCACATAAGACCAATATAATAAATAATTAAATAAATTATAATAATTTAATCTAATTATAAATGTGTATTTGCATTATTTGCAAGTTATACTGAAAGACATAACTGAAATTGCTACTACTTAAGAATATATTATGTATCTAGCCTAAATTAACTAATATTAAGTCATTGTTTATTATGTATCTTAATCTTTAAAAGCCATTTCATCTTCATTCTTCATGAATGAATGCGTGGGGAATGTAAGGACATTTTGTTTCCTTGCGCAAAATTAATCCTAACTACTACAAAATTATTTTTCAATACAAAACAATAAAAAAGGAAACAACAACAACAATAACAAAATAACTTAAAAAGCAATTTTAACAGACAATCCAATTGAAGCAACACCATAAAAACCAACAGTGGCAATTCTGGTGATTGGGACAGGGACCGTTTGGGGGCAAATATAGGTCAGTAAGAGCTCAAAGTCATTTGTTTTCTAACAAAATAGATGAGAAAGCATTTCTTATTCTGTTAAATGCTGAAATTTACTAATTTCAATACAAATTCAATATATTTTTAGCCATAAATTCGAAAGGTACTCGAACAAAGGCAAATAAATTGAGTGGAACAACACTTGAAGCATGTCAACACATCAGTCAATGGAAGCATCGACAACACCAGCCACACCAGCCAAACCACTTCAACGCAGCTCAGGAATAATTGAAACAGAATGAAACAAAAACTTTAGTTACCAGCATCGATACCAAAACTGTCTTAGTGACAGTTAAAAGATACTCACTCCGGACTCGTTCCGAGCTAGCAGCATAAATTTTGTTTAGGAATAATGCTACCCTTGAGTTTCGCTTGTATGCTGGTGAGATGTGGTGAACTCGGCAGCGGTGGTGTTTGCATTTTTAAAAGCTCAAAGCGTTACTGTCAACGACGCCCACTTCCTTAGCCAAGCCGTTATTGCTTTTGTCATCGCTGTCGCAGTCCTTAACGTAATCATTAACGTGTTGGTACAAGAGAATATTAAGATTAAGAGTTCATCAAATTAATGCAAATTTATACCTTTCAACTGAAATTACAATTTATCCTTTTTGAAATCATTCGAGCCGTACAAGGAAGCCAAATGCAAACAAAACTGTCTCATGGGCGAAACAAAATTAGTTAATCGTTTTTAAAGGCTATGTAGCGCTGTGTGTAAATGCTACATCGACGCTGCCTCACATTCGCACTACGTACACACACAACTCGGTCTTGCCTTCCCCCACTCGCTTCGAGCCGTTCCAGTTAATTTTGTTTTGTCGTACCGCATCAATATAAATGCCGATAACAATGGGTTACGCAAAACAACAGTTTAAATCACCTAACAGTCACGCCCAACGCCTTCTAAGGATTTTGTATATTTCGACCACAGCACGCTCATTACGTAGCCAAAACATGTCAAAATATTCTCGTACAAACAATCGAAAAATTAAGCAAACACACCGACAGACAAAGCGAACGAGTTGGAGTTTGGGGGGTAAAGTGCTGTTTGAACGAGCTTAAGCTGCCTGCGAAGAATAGCAAAAACGTTCGCCTAAGCTACCGACAATGAGATGACAGCGACAGGAACATTACCGTCTTTAAACATCCCCCCCGCAATACCATGGTGGTCTACATCATCGAAAAGGTTGGAAATATTTTTAGCGTTTTGCTTCTTGTTTAATGCAGGCAGTCAGGCAGGGAAGCTGTCATTTAGTCAACTCGTCGGTCGAACGGATACATTCACATCGTTGATGGCGTCTATGAGTTTAGAATAGATAAATAGTTATGGTTGCTTGGTTCGAATGCAAAACTCGTTTGTTACTTTCACGGGTGCCAACAAACACACAAATAATGAAATTGATGTTAGACGTTTTCCTTTCCTTCACTATATTTATTTTTTTCTTTTTTCCTGCAATTTTTGCCTTCTATGGTTTACTTGTTCTTTTGTAGTAGCAATTGTTGTTGTTGTTGTTGTTTTGTAATGCCTAAATGGACGCATAAACATTTCGCTGCTAAGCGCTAGTAATCCCTCACGTCCTGTTTAGCGAAATGTGCGCTAGAGGCAATGTTTTTAGTATCGTTAAAGCAATTTTTATGGTAAATTTAAAAATTTACGTAACATAAAGCGCTATTCGGTCTATTTATCTCTCCTCACCCCCACTAATTTACAACATGGTATGCTTTTAATGAAATTATACGCGATTAAACAAATGCCCATGCACCCGCCCAGCTGTTACTTTGCTGACATATAGACGTGAATATCTCACTGTATCTGACTGTATCTGTAAGTTATGTAATTACTACTTTTGCACACACAGATTGATGTATTTAAAGATTCTAGTTAAGATTACCTAAAAGGCTAAAATATTCCAAATTGGAACATAAACAAAGCGAGAACGAAATAACGTAATAGAAGTGCTGTGTTTTCCGGTACGTTTTACTTAATATGCAACAGATAATCTTGTATTGGAATTATTTTGAACATATTGGAAATTACTTATTAAAAAAAATTTATGGAGAAGGTTATAAGACCTTCTCTGTAATATTTTAATAAAAGCATTTTTAGCATTTAGCTAATATACATCAATCCTACTACACTGATCTTATGATATTATGTTTTGTTTGCGTTTCGTTTCGCTAGAAAGCTAGAATATGGGTTGAACTTTTATTAGAATCTAATGGTAGAGAGTCTTCTAAGTAAATACTAAACTTTATTATAATTATTAATTATAGTTATAAGTTAATAAATTTTTATAAAGAATTAATCAAAAAAGTATCTCTGAAAACATATGGTGTACATTAGTTGAAATGGACAAAATATCATGTGATTAAAGCTGTGATTCAAAAGTTTTTCTATTTGAATTTATTTTTCTAAAATATTTTATTCTTTAATTGCATTTTAAATAAGGTAATTAAAAGATCTGGGTAATTAATAATGAGCGCAGAAATTTAAAACTGAAAGATAATTTTTGTTATTATTCCTATTTATTACGAAGAAATAAACATTT